AGTGAGATTGTCAGCAACAGAATGCTTGTCACAACAATGCCTACGTTCTGGTTCAGTGCAATCTAAAAAAATAGTGCTTGCAGCAATTTGTGCGATCGTACTGGACCAGAACCCAGGCATTGCTGTGCCCCGCGTTCTGCTGCAAGCGATCGCACTGCAGGGAGGGCGTGGCTGCAGTGCCATTGACTTGAATGCACCAACACACCCCCTCCTGAACGCAGGGAGCCGGCCAGGATGCGATACAGTGCGTTCCAATAGCTAACCGTTCTAGAAAGCACTTTGACTGGTGTGAACAGTCCAGTGTGACAACGTTCGATAGATAGGGTGAGTGTTGTCACTCAAGGACAGGAAGTGTGTTAGTGTGCTTGGGTTCACATGCTCTTTAACCCTTTTGCTGCCAGAGCATTTTTTGCGTTTTATGCACACATACTGTAATAAGGCAGATTTTAGGACTGAAAATTACTTAAACCACCGAATTATATATTTTCTGAAAGCACGGACCCTGGAGAACAAAATGGCCGCAGTTGAAATTTTTTTATGCAACTCCAATTTTAGTAAAAAAAAAAAAAATTCAAGTTCATTTTAGTGCACATAAACACAATTTAATACCCAATTTTTTGGTAAGATATAAAAGATGAGGTTGCACCAAGGTTGGGGATTTTCTATATCTTATCTCTATATCTTATAATGTAACAAATACGACAGCAATAAAATTAATAAAATTGATAAAATTTATAAAATTAGGAAATTGTTCTGAGCGGGAAGTGGTTATAAAGACTGAAGACAACCTTTGAAATGACATTGTTACATTGTTACACCACACATGAGATTTCAGAGATTGGGGTTAGGTCTATAGGTTAAAGGGTTATCTGTCTATATCTTATCTATGTATCTAATACAATTGATAAACTTTATACAATTAAGAAATTGTTCTGGGCGGGAAGTGGTTATAGAGACTGGAGACAACCTTTGAAATGACATTGTTACATTGTCACACCACACATGAGATTTCAGAGATTGGGGTTGGGTCTATAGGTTGAGGAGTTACCTATCTATATCTTATCTCTATATCTTATAATGTAACAAATACAAAGGCAATAAAATTAATAAAATTAAGTAGGGCTGGTACTGATTAAAATTTTCGTGTTCGATTAATCGAAATGTTTTTTAAATTAGTGACGTCACGGACATCGACGTCACCGGATCTCCGACGGGACTCCTGGAAAGACCCGGAAGCCGGCGGAGAGGTGAGTGTTTTCATTACTGATCAAAATAATTGTAATTACTGATCAAAATAATTTTAATCGATCAATAATTTTAACGATTAATCGGGTAATTAATCGTTAATTTTCCCAGCCCTAAAATTAAGAAATTGTTCTGGGCGGAAAGTGGTTATAAAGACTAAAGACAACCTTTGAAATGACATTGTCACACCTTACATGAGATTTCAGAGATTGGGGTTGGGTCTATAGGTTGAGGGGTTATCTGTCTATAGCTCATCTCTATATCTAATATTGTAACAAATACGAAGGCAATACAATTAATAAAATTGATAAAATGAAGAAATTGTTCTGGGCGGGAAGTGGTTATAGAGGCTGGAGACAACCTTTGAAATGACATTGTTACATTGTTACACCACACATGAGATTTCAGAGATTGGGGTTTGGTCTGTAGTTTGAGGGGTTTCTATCTAATAATGTAACAAATATGACCTGAAATAAGAAATACATTGTGACAATTTGCTCTGTGTGTAGACGGGAAGCCTCCAGTGACGGGGTGCCCTAGTTCTGGTGACACATGCCGTCTCTCTGCTTTCACTTTGGTAACTTGTCGAAGTCTCAATTGCGTTTGGCTCGTGCTGGCGGTGCGGTTCCGCACGCCGAGATGAACCCTTCCGGGACGTCCATCTGAACATTTAACATCTGCCTGTTTCTCGGAGACGAGGATGTGACATGACAGCAGTTTTACTGACCTAGATTCCGCGAGACTCTCAGCGTGAAGATCGCTCTCTGAGTCAGCCCGTCATTATGACTTCCATCATTTAAAGCTGAACACAGAGATCAACATATATGGGAGCTGTGTCACCTGCTCAATGGTTTTTATTTCTGTCCATCCAGTTCTGAGAGTTTCACTGCTCTGGCACACAACACAGCCCACTCTGGCAGGACAGGAGAGCTGATTTTGCTCTGCTGCATTCCAGTAACACTTACAGGTCTTGTCCCTCCCCCGCCAGCTTGTGACTGGAGAGTGAAGGGAGAAGCAGCAGACTGATGAACTCATTTCTCCATCACTCTGCTCTTTCCTCCTATCAGCATGGCTCTTGTTAGCATGTGAGCACTGCAGCACAAATGGCTGGTCCATTGCACTATTTCTCATTCTCCCAATCTAAGCTCTGCTGTACAGGGACTGCAATGTAAGGGAGGGGTTCCCCAAGCAAAAACACACAGAAAGTGGGGTTCCTCCCTTTGCTTCAAAGTCCTCCCTTTAAATCAGGAACCCCCCCTTCACATCAGGAGCCCTCCTTTCACATCAAAGCCCCCCTTTCACATCAAAGCCCCCCTTTCACACAGAAGCCCCATTGTCATATTGGAATCCCCCTTTTTACATTAGAGTTCCCCCTTCAGAGTCCTTCCATCACAAAATTTCATCGGCACCCGATGGGGAAGCCAGAGGGCACCCCGGTGTGACACGGCTCCCTGGCTGAGAAAGGCCATTGTAGATTATGGCCAATAGGTGGCGCCAAGGAGTATAGGAATTTCCTGTACTCTTCAGCTCCATCTAGTGGAGAACAGGGAGAACAGCTCTGAAAACATTTTATAAATACACCTCTGAGAGCCAAAGAAATTAAAGCCCAACTCCAGCTGACACCCCACAAGTCATTTCAGCAACAGAATATTTTTTGGGGAAAAAAAAAGGATTTAAATCATATGAAAAAATGTGTGTTATACGGATCGCCCCAGCCCCTACTTCTGCCACTATTGCTGGACAGCTTGGCCTGCACGTAAATGTGGAGAAAAGTATAAAGGAAGGCATTGTGAAATCAAAGAAAGCAGTTTATATACTAAAACCTATCATTACAGGTATTAACCTCACACGGTTACCAGAATCCAATATTTTTCACTACGGTTGGCCTGTAAAGCTCGCATGACACGGGTAATGATTGGGTTTAGAATCACTT